TTGTCATTATTTCTGGTAGGATAATTATGTTGATCTAGGTGCAATTTATAAAGATGGACATTTTGCTTTACATACAACAGACACTCCAACACATAGATACATGGCAAAGTGAGAATATTCAAAGTCACAAAATACTGGCGACAATCCTCTCTGTAGCCCAAGCCACATATGATACGGACACATTTACGCTGATGTCCAAAAGCCTTATCTATATGACATGAATGACCCCATGATAAAATGGCATAAGACAAGTTTGAGTGAAAATATCCATGATACGCCAGCAGAACAGTTTGCCTGGAGGTGACCTTCACCAGATTACGAAACAAGAAAAGATATTTAGACAACTTCCTAGATAAATGGACTATATGATTTTCCCAAGTCAGGCCCGGATCCAGATAAACCCCAAGAAATTTAACCTCCTCAACACAGTCTGCTAAAAGTGGGTGGTCAGTTTGTGTGTTTCTCAGCGTGAAATTCATCGACTGCGATTTGGAGTCATTAAGGGATAGTTTATTGGATAGGAACCATTCCATAAGTTTACTCTCAGTATTCTCAAGACCCAGGTCATGCATTTCAGATGGATGATAGCTCTGGTAATAAGTAGTATCGTCGGCAAACAAAACAGTATCAGCTGTGTTCTGGGTGGAAGCAAGATAGATCATTTATGTACACAAGAAATAATATGGGTCCCAGTACTGAACCTTGTGGTACTCCATACTTCAGGGACAGCTTAGATGAACAATCCTGGTTTATAGAAACATATTGCGATCTTTTTGAAAGGTATGATTTTACCAACAATACCGCACTGTTATGAAAATTATAGTAGTTTAGTTTTTCTAAGAGAAAATATCTTTATTCGTTACAGAGTCGCGGCCCAGATGCTCTATTTGCATTTCTTGAAAGCCTCTATTTGGGTCTTAATAACAGGGAGATTGCCGCGGCGGTGTTCTGTGGTTTGTCAAAGGCTTTTGATTGTAATCACAGGATACTGCTCTGTAAGCTGTGCTGGGACTCTGTAACGAATAGAGATATTTTCTTAATCTCTACTGACGTCCCCTCTCTATTGATTTCGAGAAGAAAGAAGAAGATAGCAAGTGCCATGGAGATAGGGATAACGATCTCTATACGTTACAGAGTCCCAGCTCTGGAGTCTATGGCTTCCGGGGTAGAGCATTGGAGTGGTTCAATAGTTATTTGTCTCACAGGACACAGAATGTCAATTTCAATGATACAACATCCGAGCGGAAGGAGCTATGAGTTATGTTATGGAGTGCCACAAGGCTCTGTGTTTGTTGGGTGCCATATTATTTCTCATCTATGTGAATGATTTTACTGGTCTTGGGATGTCTGGTAGTCTCACTAGTCTCACAATGTTTGCGAACAATGCGACTATTTTGTGGACAGGCACTAATGAGAAACAACTCAATGCTGTTATTAATGGTGATATCTGCAAAGTGAAGGAATGGTGTGATGCGAATTGTTTGTTTTTAAACATTTCTAAGACCAAAGTCATGAGCTTCAAATGCAGCATGGATGAAGTGAATCTGGAGGTTAAAAATCTGTTTAACTCAAAAAAATGTAAATTCTTGGGTATTCATGTGGATAGTGTGCTGAAATTTGAGCCTCACATTAATTAAACGCTAAACTAGCCTCAAACTGCTATGCAATTAGAATAATTTCGAAAGGATTAAATTTATCAATGGTTAGAAATGCCTATTTATCCCTAATTGAATCGCATTTACGTTATGGTCTTTGTTTTTTGGGTTTTTGTTCAGGTCGATTGTTCAATGGTATTTTTGTACTTCAGAAGAGGACAATAAAATTCAGGCGCGGTCCCGGGGGGGGGGGGGGCGCAGGGGGCGCGCGCCCCTTCTCAGCCATCCTCGGCCATAGTTTTATGGTATAAGTAAATAAACAGAACATCAGAATGTTCACTCCATTCACATTTACAATAACTAACTACAGATTTAATTCAATTCTCCGGATAATTTCTATGAGTCCCGTGTCTGTAGCCACTGCAGAACGTAGTTTGTCTACGTTGAGACTTCTAAAAACTTATCTGCTCTCTACATTAGCACAAGACCGACTTAGGGTGGGTATTATAAAACTACTTTGAGAGTTAACTTAAAGTTAACTTCTGGAATTACATGTAATTCAAAAAGTTAACTTTGAGTTAACTGTCAAAGCAGTTTTATAATACCCGCCCTTAATGAATGGTCTTGCTTAAAACAGCGTAAAAACTCTTCACTACATGATGGAGGACCTTGGTTGTCAGATCAGTTTTTCCTGTTGTAATTTAAAGATTTTGCAATTTTTATAATGCATTTTAAAGGCTAACAATTTTTTTTATAAACCATCATGTTATGAATCAACGAAAGATACCTAACATTTCCACATTCACTTCTTCATATTACCAAGAATAGTCCAGAAGGATTTTTTAAATTATTTTTCTAGGGTTACTCGAAGGATCCCCTATTAGCCGGAGAGCCAGCGCCGAAAAAATTCTCTGAATTTACTAAAGCTAGTTTTTGGTCAGTTGATTACAGTATTTACGTACATAAACATACCTCGGTCAGTCAAGCGAAACTTGGGACAAGGACCTAGGGTGTCTGGTTAAAGTTGTCGAGATAGCTAGGAAATGCAACGAATTTACTAAGGCTGAAAATCGCTATACATATTATATATAACACATAAATAACAGTGATGTTTGTCAGTCAGTTGAATAACGGAACTGGGCCGGTCATTCAGCCCCATTGAGGTAGTTCAGCCCCAATTTATGTAAAAAAATAATAGGTCTATTTTCTTTTTTAGGGTGACAGCGTGACATTGACAAATCGAAATTGTAGGTTGAAGTATAAATTAATAGGTTTGTTCAGTAATATTATTATTTTTTGCAGATTTTTACATTTAATGAGGCTGACTGACCAGCGCGGTCCCGCTATTCAACTGACTGACTAACACTACTGTTATTTATATGTTATATGTAATATGTATGACGATTTTCAGCTTTAGTAAATTCGTTGCATTACCCAAGTTATCTCGACACCTTTAACAAGACACCCTGGGTCCTTGTCCCAAGTTTCGCTTGACTGACCGCGGTATGTTTATGTACGTAAATACTGTAATCAACTGTCCAAAAACTAGCTTTAGTAAATTCAGAGAATTTTTTCGGCGCTGGCTCTTAGACTATATTACGTAGTGTAGTGGAGAGCTTTCACGCTATTTCCTGGACACCAACAAACCTATGGAGTATGGCAGAGTCAAGATGGCGGACAGGTTTACACTGAACACTGATTTATGCCATTTAAAGTCTGTTTTTTTTTTTAAAGATAATTCCCCAAGTCAAAAATTTAGTAACTATGTTGGCAACACAAGCCTACATGAAAAATTTGAAGCATTGACAATTTTACATTGTATTGCCGACATAATGTCATTTTGTTGTGATTTTGACTTTTATCTTTAAAAAAAAACAGATTTTATTTATTTCAAAATCTTACAAAACATCAAGGATGATACACACTACTACTATAGGATGGCCTATCCTAATAAGGCCTGTTTGTAACAAAGCTACTACTATTTTATCCATTATTTTACAATTATTTTAATTTTTGAAGTTACAGCTTTGTCAACAAGATAAATTTTTTAGACGATAAAGTATATTTTGATTTGATTTGATTTGAAGAAGATCTAAGGCAGGTTCTCGTAGCGCCACTATCAGTGCTGTTGCTTTTTCTTGATCGTTCACAAACAGCTTGTGATCGGATCAGCGTTTTCATAAAGGCCTATACGAAAAGTATATGAATTCACATGGCGTGTCTGGCTACTGACGTCACGCGGATTAGTCTCCGGTGCAGGTACGTTTTTTATCCTGCGCCGATCATTGATTTTAAACTGCTCGCAACGAACGCAAATATAAATATTTTGCGCTCAAATTTTTTTTTAATCTTTTTTTAATGACAAAATCTCTCGATTTCAGTTAAAATAAAAAAAATGTCGAACCTGCCTATAGTAATGACTGAGACAAAACTAAGTTGGGGGTTGTAGATTTGCCCCTTGTAAAACCATGATTGATTGGGTACAAATACTTCTATAATTTATTATGTTTTGTTTATCACCACTCTTAAAAATCTGTATTAAAAAGCTTTGTTTCCAGAGCTCTAAGTATTCTGAACCAATCATAAAATTATTAAATAAAATTGTGAATGGATTTGTAAGTGTACAAACACATTTCTTCAAAAGTAACTCGGGAATACCATAGGGCTCCACCGTAACCCTATCAGAGAACCGATGGGCTGAACATTGCTTCAAAAATGCTCCGACAACTAATTGAGTGCCTATTAATATTAATGTTAATTAGGGAAAATTTCTGTTAACATGTGATCAAATGAACAACCTGGCTAGTATACAATGGAAAAAAATACCAAATAATTTGGCAATATTCTGTCCTTGACTTAACTCTTGGTTATGGTAGACCAATTTTGAGGGAAGACTATAGGAAGTTTTTCTATCTCTAATAAATTTCTAAAAATACCTAGGGTTGGTCTTGCAACTTACAGGGACAAAATATGCAATTGCCTCAGCGAATACTTTATAAAACATTGATGCAACATTATTTATATCAGTATTAGAAAATATATCGCCCCTCTGAATTGACCCAATATAATCATTGAGCCATATAAAATTGCAATTTTTAAAATCATGGTAAAAATCAGTAATCTCCAACCCAGTCTTATTCCTATCATTAAGTAATATCACTAATATCAGACAATCATAAGCAATGTGATGGGTGATGACTATCCTCAAAAAGTGAATCACTAGCCTTATTAATAATCAAGTTAGTGAATGCCAACTCTAAAAAATCTGGAGTGTTGTTAACTTGAAAGAGATTAAGGGATCGAAAAGATGTGGCTACAGTCAAGGCATTAATTCCAAACTCTCCGTTTTAATCAGTGTTAATGGCTTACTATAATGTTACAATAATTCAATAACAATAAACTCACCTAACTTATTACAATTATTACTACCATTTACACTGGCATTAATTGGAGATATTTTAAGTTCCTGTACTTCATCTTGCAAAAGTTGTTTCTCGTGTAGAACTTCATTATAGTGCCTCTCCAATTCATCCATTTGACTTTCTAAATCTTTTTTGACCTAAAAAAAATAAGATGTTTTATTTGCTCAATTGATAATTATTGAATATTCTCACTTTACTAAAATTTTGGCACTGTTCCTCCAATTTCGAATATTCACTTTTCAAATTTTGATTTTCCATGTGCAGTCTATCACATTGCTCTTTGATTTCAGAGAAATTTTGTTGGATTTGTCCTAAATCTGAATTAGATGACTTTTCAATTTTCTCATTTAACTCAGTCACAATTTTTTGTAAACTATCTCGTTCCTGTTCCAACGCATCGAAACTTCCTTTTTCATTTTCCATAAGCTCACATTTAGCCTTATACTCTTCCATTTCTGATAACAATTTTTCATGTTCCTCATTTATGTTTCTATTATCAGATGTTAAGTGGTTAATTCTAAGTTTTAATTCTGAAATTTCCTGGTTCAACTTATTGCAGTCCGAATGTAAAGCTTCATTTAGTTGCTCTAATTCTTTAATTTTAGACACTAATTCTGCATTTTCTTGGGCTAGGTTAGTAAATTTTTCCTCTATAATGTGCATTTCTTTTGTTTTGAATTGCAATTCTTCTATTTTCTGTTCTAATTCTTTTTTGGTATCTTCCAACAAACTTACAACGCCTGATTGTTGAGTTTTAGCCTCTTCATATAACTTATCTACCGATTCCAAGGAATTTTTAATTTCTATTATTTCATTATTGTTTTTGTCTAATTCTTGTTGCATTTGTTTTAGTTTTTCTAATGCTTGTGTTTTTTCAATTTTTTCTTTGTTGAGCGTGTCGGATATACTTTTATGTTTTTCTTCATTGCGTTTGATTTCTTCTTGTAGCTGATTTATAAGGTCTGTTTGGTTTTCTATTTTAACTGCATAAGAATCTATAATAAAGAAAATACAAAATTTTAAAACTATTGTCAACTAGCTACTTAGGAAAGGAGGACCCAGTATTCAACCTTATTAATTTAATTGCCAATTCGATCGGATGTTTATTGCAATTCAGCAATAAATTGATACAAATAGTGGGCCAAGCCAAGCAACAGGCAGACTTGAACCAGTGCAAGTACCGCCACCCTGGGAAAGCCCCTCTGGAATCAAGTCTCCCCAGTGCAAGTACCGCCACCCTGGGAAGCCCCTCTGGGAAACTGTATCGTCATCTAGTGCAAGTACTGCCACCCTGGGAAAACCCCTCTAGATGAGGATCAGTTAAACGACGACGAACATTCTACGTAACATTAGCATCAAACAGACATTCCTTCCTAAGTAGCGTCAAACGTGTGGCCTTTCCCACAGAAGAGCATGTATCAAGGATTCATGACTTCTTAGCAAATATACATATTTTTATATAAAAACAGAGCGAGTTTTTCTCTATCTATCCACCCTACACCCCCCGTCACAGAGAAGCTGCGACACTATAAAGCCTAGAAGTTGTCAACAAGCCAATTTCCTTACCAATTTCTTCTTTCAAACTATTAATTGTATCATTTAAACCATGAATTTGTTTTTGAGACACTTGACTTTCCATTTTTAAATTTTCTATTTCCTTTTCTAATAGCTCTTTTTCTTTATTCACTTTTCCTATTTGAATTTCCATATTTTCGGCATCCTTTTTCCTAGACTACAAGAGTAAATTTAGTAAATCCACAAAGAAAAAAAAAATAGCCTTACCTCAACGGATGCCACCCATTTTTCTTTTTCTGCTATAAATTCCTCTTCTAAATCAAATTTTTCTCTACTCAAAATCGAAATTGTCTCATTTAATTCATCAACTTTGCTTTGTAAATGGTTCGCTTTAGATAGGGCTTCTTCAAAAATGCCTCTTTCATTTTCAAATGATTTTAGTAAACTATGATTTTCTTCTTCCAAAGATTTTAATTTAATTTCTAAAAGTCCACATTCGCTTTTTTCCACATTCATACTATCTATTTGTTCTTTTCTAAGGCGTAAAGATTCTTGAAGTTTAGAGATTTCTTGTTCAAGAGCTAAATTATCTCTTTGAAGTTGCACGATTTTGTCTTCTTTTTCATTCAAGTGTTTTTTGAGGCTTAAAATTTTCTCTGTTAAATGATTATGGCTGCTTTCTAAATCTGAAATTTTCTCATTTGCAATTTTTAGTTCTTTGTGTTCTATTAAAATTTTGTTAAACATTTTGCGTTCAGCTTCAAAGGTTTGTGAAAGTTCCTCTTTTTCTTTTTCAAACTCTTGTAATTTCAATTTGAGAAGATTGCTTTCAATGGATTCTAGTTCTAAAACTTCATGTCTTTCTTCAAAAATCCTAACTTTAGTTGTCAATTCTTCATTGATTTTTTTCAATTCTAAATTCTCTTTGGCCAATTCAATATTTTCCTGTTTAATATCTTCTCTGTGAGTTTCAAGTTCTTCGTGTTTTGTGTGGAAGCTTCGATCAAACATTTCCCTTTCTAATTGGAATGTTTTAATCAAATTTTCCTTTTCATTTTCAAGTTGTTGGACTTTTATTTGTAAAAGGTTACATTCGGTTTTATTAATTTCTTGGGCTTCTTGTTTCTCTTCTAAAATTCTTAATGATTCTTGAGTTTTGCTTAAGGCTTGCTCCAAAGCAAGTTTAAGCTTATTTATTTCCACAATAGTAGCTTCTTTATCAGTTAAAAATCCTTTAAGCTCAACAATTTTCTCTTCTAACAATTTATTTCTATTTTCCAATTCTTCCATTTTAATTTCTTTAATTTTTAAATCGTTATGTTCCTCCTGGATTTTGTTGAATAATTTTCGTTCCATTTCAAAACTTTCCAATATAGTTTGTTTTTCTTCTTCTAAAGCTTGTAGCTTTATTGTAAGTAAATTATCTTCTGTAGTGTTTATTTCAACAGTTTCCAATTTTTCTTCCAATAATTTACACATTTCAAGTAATTTAACATTACGTGTCTCAAAATCTAAATTTTCTTTTGTCAATTGTACATTTTGTGCTTCCTTCTCTTCAGATATTTTTTCTAAATGGCTCAATTCTTCTTGCAAAGTTTTTATATTAGCCTGTAATCTATCAATTTTGTCTTCGTACATTTTCTTGTCACTATTTCCAATTTCAGGGACTTGTTTTTTTAAATCATTCACATATTTTCTTAATTTATCACTGTCTTCAATTAGTCCTAAGTGATTAGTTTCTAACTCATTATAACGACTATCTTTTTCCATTAATTTATTTTGAACCTCTTGTAATTCGTTTACGATTTTTTTAATTTCATTATCTTTATCAATTAGCTGCAAATTTAATTCTGCTGCTGATTGGTTATTTTGAGAAATTTCTTTAAGTTTTAATTCAAAGTCTTCTTTCAATTTCTCTTCTCTTTCTTCATATTCTTTGCTTAGAGATTGTGATATTTTATTTTCTAATGAATTTAGATTCTTTATAGCACTGGCTCTTAAATCTTCAATTTTTCTTTCATAATCTTCTTTATCCTTTTGACTGTCCTCAATTAGTTTATTTAATTCTAGATTTTTTTTATTGAGTTCATTAATCTCTATTTTATAACTTTCAACTTTAAGTAGCTCATCTTCTATATTTTTTTGACTATCCTTAATAATTTTATTTAATTCTAAATTTTTTTCAGTAAGTTCGGTAATATCCATTTTATATTTTTCAACTTTAAGCAGCTCATTTTCTAGTCCATTACATTTTTGCATTAAATTTTCAACTTTTTCAATTAACTTAGTATTTTGAATTTGCAAATTTTCCATTTTAGTTGACCTATTTTCATTGCTCCTAAAACTTTCTATGTCTTTTTTTAACCTACTAATTTCAGCATCTTTACTCAACAATTCATTATGTAAATCCATTTTGTTTTCTGCTAGTTTTATATTATTTTCCTTTTCTCTTTCAGAGAAATTAACAATATCCTGTTCCAGTGCTGCAATTTTACTTTTCTGCACAATAGCACTAGCTTTGTATTCTTGAATTTTACTATTTAACATTTCTATCTCGCTTCTAGCATCGTTTAAATACTTTGTTAGCTGCTCCAATTTATCAGCATCGATATTATTTGCTGCCTCTTTTTCATCAGCATGCAACAAATTGATTTTAGTTTGTAACGATTCAATTTTCATTTGCTTCTCATCCAATTCGTCTCTTAGAGCACCTTCCAAATGTGCTTTGGCTTTTTGCTCAAGACCGCATTGTTCTTTTAATTCTGCCACCCTGCGAAACGCTCTGTCTTGCGTCTCAACTAAAACTGACTTCATTTTAGCATTTTCCCTTTCTAATTCTTTATAATGTCTGGCTAAATCTGTATATCGACCTCTATACTTGTGATATCTAAGCTGGGACTTTTTAAAGGCCGAATATACTTGCTCTTTGGATATGTGCCCTAATTGAGATGAGGATTGAGAGACGTTGTCTTCTAGTTCACTGGCAGATGCATCTAAATCGGACTAGAAAAGAATCTACATTAGAAGGAAGTCTTCAATTTAATACATTTTTTGTATTTTAAAGAATTCATTTTTATTAATATGGTTATTACCTGTAAATGGTACGTACTTCCAGCCTCATATCTGGGAAGAAATGAGACATCACTGGCCATAGAAGAATTGGATAAACGTCTACTTCTGCTATCAGATGAAGGTGATACCAGCGTTACACTGGAAAATCCTTGGTCCGTACTCATGCTCGAGGCGTTTTCATCTAGAAATCAAGTCCTTGATAACACATATTATGTCTTGCTTAGGTACTTTAGTTTTCACAAAGCAAAGATAATGGATTTGTCTGTAAAATTTTTATCTAATACTGAAGGAATTGGGAGAAACGCCATGTATGATAATAAAATCGTTTATTAAGCGAACAATATGGTCCAATTATAAAATATATTTTTTAATTTATGCTTGAACAATCATTCGGAAATGAATCTATTTCTTCTTGTAGTACAGTAGGCTTACTTTATGATTTAATTCATTTAAAATAATTTGCAGCCTCTTCTTTTGCTATTATAAGATCCTCAATATATATTTATTATTAGTTACCAATAGTGAGCAGTAAAAATAAACCAATGAGACGATTACTATCCTAGCACTGTTAAAATGTCTATTTATACATATATTAATTGGTATAGTGCAAAAATAATCTTGTCCATTCGGCCATTTCACTGTCCAGTGTGTTTGTAAACAGATTGACTGAAGATGCATTCACAGTGTCCCAACTGAGTCGATTCCAATTATAAACTACTCCAGTGGACAAAAATTTTGTATGCAAAAGCCTGGCACATCTCTCCTTACAGAGTTTCTTGCTATGACCCCTTAGATGCTGGCTGCAGCCTGGTTCTTATCTTACGTAAGTCTTGTACAGCAGTACAAATATTTGGTGTATGGGATCTTTAAATGCCTTGGAAATCAGGTACATGATGGAGTTTGCCTTCTTTAAAATGCCATTGATATGGTTTTCCCACTACATCTCTTCAATGACAACAATTCCCCAATCATTTTGTTCAGCAACACAGATTACCTAGGTAGACCCAATGAAGTATTGCATTCTAGAGTTGTTTTTGTCCAGGATTATATTTGGGGATTGGTTACCAGTACTTGAATATACAGATGTCAACACTTGCTGTGTAAATGTAAAGGCGGGCACAGACATGCGGTATTTTTCGAATCGCGATTATTCCCTATTTGCCGAGCAGCTCGGTAAATTAATTTGTATTCGGCGAGCAAGGTGTACACATATGCGGCGTAGTTACCGAAGGTTGCTCGGTGCGGGAACAACGAAAATTTGTACAACGGATGTGGATAGTGAAACACTGGACGCAGCAGACAAAACAAATCGACACTAAAATTGGCACGAATATGTGTATCTAGTGCAACGCAAATATTTGTCTCCTTTGACCCAGCCCAAAAGACCGAAAAGCGATGGGAAAACATCGCATAACGAATATTTGCCCGAGCAACCCATACACACTAATCGCTACTTGCCGAATAGCAAATATAAGACTTTAACATTAGTAAAGGGTAAAGGTAAGAGTGAATGCGACACGCCGAAGTTCTCGAGTTTACGAAGCAGTATATTAAGTCAATTTCAATCAAAAGCCTTCTGGAAGTCTGAATAAATGACATCAAATTGACCCCTTGAGTCCAGTGTCTCACAGGCGATCTGAGACAAGAACGCAAATCCAAAAAGCGATGCTGGTGAAGACAAAGAAGATTTCTAACCTTAGGATACAGTTTACTGTAAACAATAATTTCAAATAGTTTTGAGAAATTATAAAGGATTGTGATGGGTCTATAATTTTTTATTATGGTGTTGTCGCCCTTCTTGAAAACAAGTATAATCTTTGCCATTTTTCAGGTATCTAGAAAAATACCTTTAACAACAATTAAGTTGAAAACATGCAGAAGTGGAACGGAAAGGACATCAATGCAGTCTTTCACTATGAAGCTGGGTATTCCATCAACACCGGATGTCAACTATCCTTCAGCCTTTTATTGGCAGCTATAATATCCTGAGAAGTTATTGTATGTATATTTATTATATTTCAGTTTAGCATAGCGGATTCAATGTCATTGTTGGGAGAGGAATTAATATGTACCTACCTACCTACCTCTAAAATAATTTGCAAATGCATCGACAATGCTCTGTGGATCCGCGTACTCACTGTTGTCGTTCCTCAAGTTACCAGGGATACTAGTATGTCCCTTTTTACTATTTATAAACGACCAAAAGGCTGAAGGGTCAGAGGCTATGTGCACTCCGGTATTTCTTATATACTCTCTGTATGTAAAGTCATTTTGAGTATTAATTTATATTTATATAGAATTTCCTGTAAGTGAATTTAAGTACTTGTTGGAAATAAAGACTATTTATTTATTTATTAAGGACTGCTGCACCAGCGTTTTGTGATTTGTTGAAGTCTTTTGATTGCGTCAATCTCAAAATACTGCTTTGGAAACTGGAGAGTTATGGCGTTTAGGGAAGTGGCTTTGAACTGGTTTAGATCTTCATTGTCCGCGCGGGTTCAAGGGGTGAATTTCAAGAATAAGCTCTCGAGTGAGATACAGATTTGAGCTGGAATATCTCAGGACTATGTCCGTGGGCCCCTTTTGTTTTTAATTTATATTAATGATATACCTGAAATTAAAATAAAGGGAACATTTACCTTATATGCGGATGATTCTATAATAATTTGGGTAAATAGATAGATAGATAGATAGATATTCTTTATTTATTCAGTTACAATAAACATAACAAATAACCCAGAAGGGTGTAGAACAATGTCACAATGTGAAAATATACCATTTAATAGATTTACTAGATCTTAACACTATAACTGCGCCTATACATTCAATAATGACATTCAATATCATTTTCCCTCACAAGTAATATAAACATTAAAAGGACATTTCATGGCAGAGCCTTATACAACATAAAGAAAAACCGAAAACACAACAAAAACAATAAAAATCCTGCAGTAACGTAAGGAGTGATGTAGTTTATAGTTAAGGAGTGGACGGATGCAACCTCTCTCTTAATATCTCTAAAACTGATATTGTTGCCTTTAAATGTTCTTTCAGTGACTAAATATATCATTAAATTAATTTTTTGGGGATTTATATAGAGGATAGGTTGAAGTTTGAACCTCAATTGACTAGCTTGAGTAGAAAGCTTGCTGCTGCTTGCCATGCAATCAGAATTATCTTTAATAATTTAGACTTTGAAACGGCAAAGAGTGTCTAATTGGTCGTGTCCCGTTTAAGATGTGGGATATGTTTCTGGGGTAACTGTGCATTATTTGTTTTGCAGAACAGGACACTCAAGTGTGTCAAGGGACAGTAAGGCTAACATCAGAGATTCCAGTCCTTGTTTATCTCTAATAATTTATACTGACTTTACTATGCCTATTCTTGTTGGAAACATGTTGTCTGGTTCATAAAAAGTCGAGGAAAAAGTATAAAAACATCACTAACTCTTCCTCTGTGTACGAAACTAGACAAACATTCAAAGTAAGCAATTCTATTTTACACCCAATATTTCACTACCAATAAATATCAAAGCAAATCATAGTTTTAAAAATTTAGAAGTGAAACCAAGACTCTACTGTTTTTCAACCCCTTCTACTCAATCGAGTAACTTAATTTCTTTGTATGTACCTTTAATGTTATTTATTTTTATGTTGTTAGTTTATTTTATGTTTTTGCGACAGTATTTTACCAATAATAGACCGGATTTGTTCCATCATATCCATTTTGTCTTACATTAGTAGAATACTTGGGTAAGCGTGTATGAACTACTCCTAATGTTAGGACTCTTTGATAATGAGATGTAAATATTCTTCAATAAAGCTACTTTTGTCTTTGACATTCTGTGTTGCAGGATTACCTAAACAAAAGGTATCATGTGGGTATCATCAGCAAATCAGAAATCTAAATCCTAAGGTTTGTCTGGTAAAGTTCTTTAGCATTCAGCTATTCTTATATGACCCAGTAGGCTTAATCCACTTGGAATCACATTGTGCAGCTGACATCCAACAGAAAATCATAATTCAACCATTTCTCGCCGGCATTCGGTAGTGCCCCACTGCTACACTTACCTTAAATAGTATAATCGTGCAACAAATGGGATCCTAACCTATTATGGCGAACGGCTTCCCCAGGGGACACCAATTACCAAAAAGAAATAATCAAACCACAAATTGTCCTGGATGTCAGTGAAACGCAACTTCAATTGGTAAAAATGGTAATTATTTGAAGGGGAAGTTATTGAAAACATTTACAGCCAAATGCTCAAAGCCCAATGCCAAACTTGCTCAACTAGAAGTAGCTTACCAAAGTTCTGATTTCTGTACCTATCACCCCTAAAAAAAACAGAAGGTAAATTCCTTTGGAAAGTTTATAAGTGCATAAAGGGACTTTTCTAGGACCTGTGGCGTGATGGGCAGGATCAGAAGGCTATAAACAGTTGTTGGTACTTTCGAAATGTAATAATTTATCAATTACTTGACTTGCTTAAGTATATAATTATTATTTTTAATAGCTTATTTCTCCATGGTAAATACTCTACTGCGGAATGACGAATATTAAAATAGATAAGAAAAGGAACAAGCTTGTTTACATTACCCTGGTCCCTTTTTTTCATTACTTCATTTCATAGTGATGATTCATCAATTAGGCAATTGCTTAACACGATTTTATTTCTGAAACTATAAGTCAATGAGCTTAAATTTTCAGGGATTGTACTCCTTTACTGGGATCAGAATCGCTGAAAATTTCAGCTTTCTATCTATGATAGAAAAAATTTGTGGTTTTTTTAAGTTTTTAAAAATCCAAATCATAAGATAGGTAAATTTGTCGTGCAAAAAATTATTTGTCGCGTTTTTTTTTTCTGTCTCAAATACCCTGGTAGTGCTAACTTGATATTGCTACGAAATCGTTAACGCCAGAAAAAAAACGGCGTCCGCCAGGCTGTCAAGAATCGATGGCGGAAATACTAGAATCTAGCGAATTATTCTACTTTAATCTGGAAAATTAGATTATCGGGTGTATTCTAGATTTTACAGGAATAGATTTAGGGATATATAAGAAGGCCGGCATTGATTTGTAAGTTTAGTTTCAGTTCGACTGTGATACGATTTAAATAGTGATTGTAAAGAGTTTGATTGTTGAGTTTGCTAATAAAGTAATTAGTGTCAGAGTGTTTTGTTAAGTGGAATAAATTATTGCTGTGTTAATTGGACTTTGATTTTTGGAATAAACGGAACGAACGACGAACCCAAGATTTCTGTCCGGCGATCCAAAGCCGCGACAATATCGTATTTAAAAAAAAAAAAACGTAATTTATATATTAATAATTTCTGAGTAGGTATGTTTGTGCAAAATTGTGTAACTGTTAGTTAACATATAAAAAGTGACCCACCATATAGTTTTAGATAGTTTGATGAAGCTACAGTGTAGCAAAACATGTTACTGTTGTACTTAAATAAATTAGTGAAAATTAAGTAAAAATACTTTTTATTACTTTCTCCAACCATGTATAAATTCAATTTAGTATCAGCTCAATCAATTCAAGATCTGTTTATGTAGGAATAAATCTGCTTATCAGAAGAGGCTAGCAATTCTTGTTTATATTTCCTTCTGGACTGTTTTATCCTCGTTTTATCTTAGCCTTGAGGAAGTTATTTTGGTTCCTGTAGCTCGAGTTGTCATTTCCAGGGTTGCTTTTCAATTTCTTGTGCCACAAATTTTTGTTTTTCTTAAATGTGTTCAAAAATTTCTTGAGTTAAACAAGGCTTCTGGAGATTGACGATCTTCAGTTTGAATGGAATAAAAGAGCTGATTGTGGATGACAGAGAATGTTCATGACCCACTCATAGTTAACAGTGATGCTAGAGAATTCTTGCTGTAGATGTTCGTTAATAAGTTCATAGTCTGCAGACCAAAATCTTACTCTTTCTTATTTGTATTAGTTCTAAGTTTTTTAAAATTATGTCAAGTATATTGTATTGGAAGTAAAAATAAGTTGAAAAACTAAATTAAAATCGATAGGAGGTATCCGCAAACAAGGGCATCCTAAGTGTTGATTTTTTACTTTGAACACACATAAAAAAATATAGTGTCTGGTTGCCAACAAAAGAATTGACCATTTTATCAAATAAAGGCTACAAAGAAAGTTACTTTGTCCGTGATTCTTTTATATCTGACCCTACAGTTGAAAAGAAAATACAAAACATTTGCGTTCTAGATTATTTTAACATTTTTAACCAATGGCTTTCCCAAATTTGGCGTCTACCTCCTGCCTCCCCTGTATAATATTACAGAAACGAAATTTGGATATATGTTAAATATCATTAGTAATTTGGCATATTTTTACCATCTTCTCCAATAGAAAACATATTCTCATCCGGGGCACTGTTTCCTTGTAATTTGTCACTAACACTTTGGGTCAGCTGTTGAAATCTTTGAGGGCTGATTTTCACCTCTTCAGTGATTTTCTCTTTCAGTTTTTTAAACATTTTTCAGCCTCAAGTAGAGAATTTCTCTCAATTTATATAAATAAACATTACACTCCCAACTCAACACCCCCAGTTCTTTTTGACCTAAACTCTAACCTCAAAATGACGTGTAAACAAATGTCAGATGAGATGTCAGTGTGTATGAAGACGCAAACAATCAATAATTGAAGACTTTTGTTCCAATTTGGCAACGTTGGATTAACCAATGCTATGGCAAAGGCCATCCATTTTGTAAGAAAAAGAAGAACATTTTACTACATAACCTACCTAATAAGACTCCAACTCCATCATGTTTGTTTATTTTACCGCAAATGTTCCGTTTTTTTTTTTTTTTTAAATCCATAATTTTAGTTAAAATTCAATTACAATAATTATAATAAAATAAATACAACAATGCGTTATGCCCAATTAGTTATTGGACCAGCCGGGAGTGGAAAAGTAATTCAAATAAGCCCCACTCTTTGTTGTTTTTCAACTTATTCTTTAATTTTCAAGTCCACTTACTGTGCTGCCTTGGTTCAACACGCACAAGAAGCAAAACGAACTATCGAAGTTATAAATCTGGATCCTGCCGCCGAACATTTCGATTATACCCCTGTGGTGGATATCCGAGAGCTAATTCAGGTCCAAGACACTATGGAAGATGAGCAATTACATTTTGGACCAAATGGTACCCTGAAACAAATTATTGATAAAATTAATCAGTCATTGTTTTGTAGGTGGTCTGGTATTTTGTATAGAATATCTTCTAGAAAATTCCGAATGGCTGAGGGACAAAATAGGTGAACAAGATGATGATTATATTTTATTTGATTGTCCTGGTCAAATAGAGTTGTACACACATTTAACTGCAGTTAAAAAGTTGGTTAAACAATTACAAAATTGGAACTTCAATATTTGCTCAGTATTTTTGGTGGATGTACAATTTATGACCGATGGGGCCAAATTTTTATCAGGCACTATGGCGGCGTTGAGTGTTATGGTAAACTTGGAGCTTCCTCATGTAAATATTTTGTCCAAAATGGATTTATTAAGTAAAACAGCCAAGAAACGATTGGAAAGGTTCCTGGAACCAGACGCTCATGCCATTTTAGGGGACATCGAATTAAACGGCATGTCTGCTTTTAATGAAAAATTCAAGAAGCTTACAGAAGCTATAGGACAAATTATAGAGGATTATTCGCTTGTTCGATTTATACCTTTGAATATAAAAAAACATGAAAATATTACAGATCTTTTGATAACAATAGACAACGCGTTGCAGTATGGTGAAGATCAAGATGTTAAAATGAAAGATTTTGAAGAAGAGGATCCTGAAGGAATTCAAGACTTTACAAACGAATAATGTTATAGATTATATCTGGTACTCATTGTTTTAAATACATAATTTTTTAATTTTGATTAAATATTTGACTCGTGTATAAATTTTCCCATAAAAGAAGTGTCAAATTGTAAAATTACAAAGGATATACAAAATCGAATAACATTTGATGTTCTTGATCATATTAGTTGTATTCCTTTCAAGAGCTTGAAACACTCGAGCTACTCGCTCCGGTGTTTAGTCGCCCCCGATTTGCAGGGAGCAGATGCGTGGTGCAACAAACACTTTTCGAAAGGAATAAGCGCGTGAACCCCGGAGCTCCTCCCACGTGTGAAAGGAATACAACTATTATAGTATTTTGATGCATGCTGTGGATTTTGGTACAAACGAGTTTTCCACCCACCACCTACTAATGGCGTTTCCGATTGGTGGTAAATCCAGTGCGGAACTAGTGCAATTTTTGTCTATTTCTTCTACGGGTCGATTAAAAGGATGCAAATACACTCAGTGCGCATTGAATTTACCAATCGAAAACGCCATAAGATTGTAGATTGTACTGTGTATCAAGGTGTATAGTCCAACAAATACCATTTTAAAGTCACGTGATTTTTCTCTATCCTTGTTAAATATATCTCAAACAGCGGTGATAGTAAAATTGACAAAAAAATTGGTGTCTAATTATTGTTCATAATATTCTTACCTGAAATAGAATCCGTCACTGTCATCATTTAATTTGTCAAAGTTATTTTCGAAAATAATACAACGAACAAACACAGCTAATAATTTTGACTATATTAACGTTTTTCCAACTCGAAAAGAAGCAAATAGAAAACGGGTACCCAGTTTAAGTTCGGAATGTATTACAACAGACAGCAGATGCGACAAAAGTGAGTCTCGCAACAATTGCAAGTATTAAAATTCTCATCTGATTGGTCAATACTACAGTGACTCTATAACCACAGTGGCGACAATTGCTGTCTTATTTTTGATTGGTTCTAAAATCCCATATATTTATATTGAAACGCCGCCATCTTGTTCCCAACCTCTTGTTACCTTTGAATATGAATAAATGGTATTTAGGTGAACATCCATCATAAATCATGGAAAACAACGAATTTGAGGGACCTAATAATGGTGATCAAATACGTCGATTTCAATTTTTTATGATGGATGTCCATTTGAATTTTGAATCCGATATATTATTAAAAAGTAACAAGAGGTTGGGAACAAGATGGCGGCAGAACCTCTATTGTCGCCACTGTATGTAAAGGTTTATTTAGCCACTGTAGTCAATACTACTTCAGAAACGCGTTTGTAAAAAAAGAGTTTACGATTCTTGGGTGATATCAACGACATAATCAACGAACATACGTTTTTTTGCCACCAATATCACGTGACTTTAAAATGGTATTTGTCGGACTTTATCCATCCATGTTGGATTCGGGTTCGGGAAGTCATTCGGGAGTTGGAACGAAGTTGGAGCATGTTTCTTGGCACATGTTCTAGGGTAATGCTAGCGCAACCTGGAGCAATAATATGTCAAATTTTTATCGATATGAAAATTCGTATCGATATCCGCCGTCATCGACGATGTATCGATGTATATAACGATATATTATGATATACTGTATCGATTATCTCATCTCTAGTAACGAGTGGATTGATGATTTTCTATCCAACTTCACTTTACACTAATTGATAAATAAATTGGAAATTTTTAGGGGGCAGTCAACTTTTTTTACAAACATGTTGATGTGGACAAGTTTTCATTAATTATTAACTGTATTTTAACATAAATCAGACTAATTATACCATATCTAATTGAAATAATCAATAAGTATTATGCCCAGAAGGCCAATTTAGCAACTCCATACCTAAATTCAATTCACCCAAACAAGAGTGCTAAAATTATGGATTTTATAAAAAAACTGAGAAGTTTCGATGCCTACCCGAAAACTTTAGAAGACGTTAGAATCCAGACCCTTGGAGGAGGTGCAATTACCATAATCTCAATGATAATAATAAGTCTATTATTTTGGGTAGAATTTTTAAATTATATGACTCCGAATGTAACTGAAGAATTGTTTGTAGACACCTCCAGAAGCCCCAATATTGAAATTCAGTTAGATTTAACCATACCCAAAGTATCTTGCGAATTTTTGGCTCTGGACGCTATGGATTCTAGCGGGGAGCAACATTTGCAAGTAAGAATTATTTGCAATTATCATTATCATTTTTTAATATCAAATATTATAGATATCACATAATATATTTAAAAGAAGCCTAGACCTAGAAGGAAACCCGATAGAAGAACCAATAAAAGAAGATATTACAATCAGAAGTAAAAACGAAACTATTACCGATGTAGCTAGTCTAAATAAAACTGAATATTGTGGTAGTTGTTATGGGGCCAGGGAAGGGTGCTGTAACACTTGTGAAGAAGTCAGGGAGGCTTATAGGTAAGGATTTTTGACTGATAATGTCTTGAAAATATTATTAGTGGTGAGCTGAAAATAAATCAAAAATATTCCTTTAATAATAAAATCAACAAAAGCAAATGCCCTAAAAATGAGTCAATTTACACGATTTACAAATCAGTTTTCTGTAGTAACAACCCCGAGAACAACCCAATAATTGTTTGAAAAAATTTCATACCAGTTTTCGAAAACTGTTGCCCGAGCTGTTGCCTATAAACAACAAGAACAAGCTTAACCCGGGATCAATCGCGGTGTTAGAAAAAATCTAACATTTTTAGTTTTATGTGTGCCTGGAAGAAGTCCTATGTAAGCTCATGGCAAATCGGCATTTAGCTGACTTAGAAGGGTTAGCCATATCGGGAAGATGACTTAGATGTTAGTTAAATTCTAACACGCGACCTCAGCGTACACTTACCTGTTAGAAAAAATCTAACTATGCGACCAACTACGATTGAAATACCAAGACTTAATTGCATTTATCAAATTTAAGTTTAAGTTTTGATTCCGAAATTTTTTTTTGTGTTAGATAAAATCTAACATGCGACCGATCGCGTTATAGGAAAGGTAGCGACCAATCCCGGGTTAAGAAAGCTGTTAAAGTTTATAAAAAGGTTTTGTTACTGTTTTATAAACCTCTAAACTTTAGCATTTTTGGTACAAACGTCAACAGTTACAGGATATATTGCTATCAGGAAAAACAACAATAGTCCCCTCAAAGTATAACAACAAAAAAACTAAGACATTTTAACAGTCTGTCTATTTATTACACCAACATCGCCTCAATCTGTGCAAAATTTAAAGACCCCATAGTGTTCACCCAAAACAGTACATCATAATGATATCCAAAACATAGTTAAAAAAACTCCCTTATCAGTATTCCAGGGTATATTATACACAGATCGGACAGACTGATATACAGAAGTGGTAGAGTGTGCATCTACCTCAACCAAAATATATAATAGCTATTTATACAACAAGTTACGAAATGAGTGTCTTTTAGGCACGCGACGTGAAAATTGTCCAACGAGGCGTAGCCGAGTTGGACAACACGTAGAGTGACTAAAAGACATCGTTTCGTTACGTGTTGTATACAAGATTTTTTCTACTGGCGTTTCATACTGAAAAAAAAACATAATTTTATTCCTCGTAAATAAGAGCCGATCGCGCCAAAAAAGTTTGGCACCTGCTTTTGATTGACATCTTTCATGAGGTTTTTTTGATTGAAAATTGAAATCCTATTGAAAAAAACAACAGAAAGTTCTGTTTTGAGTAACCCAAACGTTTACTTTAGTAGTTCAAATAATTGCATTGACAACATTTATGAAAAAATAGACAAAATTCAAATCTGTGTGTTTTATTTCTGAACAATGAGTGACACTTTTAGGCACTGGTGCTTAAAAGTGTCACTTTTACGCACTAGTGCTTAAAAGTGTCACTTTTACACACTAGTGCTTAAAAGAATGCCATTTAAAAACTAAAATGACAATCGAAAAGTCGCTATTATGAAACGTCAGTAGAAAAAATAACTTTGCAACAATCGAACTTCCTTTCGATTGTGGTAACACTGACATACTGACATTGAGTATACCAGCTAGGAATTTCTCATTCGTTCTAGTGTGTGTGTATGTACAGACGAAATGATTCCCTGCTAGAAGATGATCTAAAACTCTTGAAAAATACCATAACAAACCTTGCTGCCTACCCCCAAAATTCTTTTATAGCTGACGACTTTATTCTTCCCAGAATTTCACGGCCAGTGACAGATCTAGGTCTACTAAGGGATGGGACCGCCCTTTTAGGGGAAACTTGGGTCTACACCAAATCATCACCAAACTCACCAGTTACAGAGTCAAACCCTATCATTCTTGGAAGTTAATACACACCTTATGGGAAAATCAGACCACAAAGTATTAAAACTAACACTGCAAGCAGAACTTGTTAACACATATTCAAAAATTAACAGAAGTCCTCTCTGATGACAATATATTTAGATCACTTATGGGCCAGCTTTCACTCAGAACTAGAGACAATGTTGATAATAGAGAGATATTGCAAATCAGCCTTAATAAGGCTAAAACCTTATTTAGACGCAATAAGCTACATCCTCAATCAATCTGGTAGCAAAGTGGCACTTTGGCACCCGTGCTGGGAAATTGATACCTATCCTCAATGCTGTCAATTTTCAGTCTGCTGTGCGTGTAGTATGGTCACATACCATGAGTTCGGTATTTTGATCTGAGTTCTCTGAGCATGCATTTATCATTCGTTTATTTAAAAAGTGTACTCAGTGCAGGCTCATTCACGTTCGTTTAATAAAATTTCGAGCTCTCTGATACAGCGTTTAACTCCTCTGTGCGCTCGCTGGTCACGTGATTACGGTTCCGCTTTGCACGCTCTGCTCTTTAAGCAAAATACCGAACACAAGGATAACCTAAATTATTTTTCACCTTACTGTGCATGAAATAAGTCGGCACGAATCGAAAAAGCTTGCAGCTTGCAAGCTTGCACTTCGGAGTCGGCGTGCATGCCAGCACGGAATTGAATTGAGGATGCCAACGTTAAACAACATTTTCCTAGCTTGCGTGCCGAAGTGCCACTTCGGTACCAATTTGATTGAGGATGGGCCTATAGGTCATTTCCTTACTTCGAATGACAAGTTTAGATATTGCAAATTTCCAGAAACGACTGGGAGTTGATGCCTCATTTCTAACCTGAAAATCTTGAATTTTTGTTAATATTTATTTTTTAAGTTTTGAGTTTGAAGTGTTTTCTTTCTGATGTGGAATATATGCTTAGATATTTGTAAGAACAGACTGAGCATCCAGTTTCAGGGTGTAACTACGCCTTATAACACTTGGCATTCAGCTGATCTGCCTCTGCCGATTCCAACAAAAGAACTGACCAAAAGGTCACTTATTTGTAATGGCAGAAAAATTTTCAACCATCTGCCAATTCACGTTAAGACTGCCAACAGTGTAAAGTGCTTTAGACGGTTACTTAAGGACATTCTTCTGACTAAGGCATATTATACCCTGGAAGAGTTTTTTACAGACAACTTTATGTGAGATGTGAGGCTTTTTTATCACTATGTTATTTGCTTATTTTTTAATTTTTATTTTTTTTTGTATTTTGTATTTTTATACATAGTACTTACTTGTTCTTTTACCTTTTAGTTTTAATGATTTCACATTTTATCCTTTTGTTTTGATGTTTTTTAGCTTTAGCAACATATTTTTTGGTTTTATAATTTTATTGTAATTTAGGAAATTTATAATATCATGCTTTGTCAACAGAAATTTGATTTTCTTGGACAATAAAGTATTTTTTGATTTAGATATTTTAAAAATATGAAATTATTTATTCAAAATAATAATATAGTACGTGTAAAATAGTAGAATAGTGGCAGGAAAATGACACAAATTCTTTAAGCAAAACCAGTTCATCGTTATACATAAACTTTGAGGTTGTTGGTTTGTGTTATTCGGGGTAGCACTTCCTGCTTTGGGCTGTTCGTTTGTGAGCGTTTTATATGGTTTATCTGCCATAATCTGAGATATTACAGCTTAGTTCAAGTTAGTGCGACACAAACAAACAAACCTTTCAGTCTGCCTCTTTTCTGTGCCTCGATGCTGTTTTGATTTTGCCCCATTTTTCAAAGTTTGGAAAAAAAAATTCAAGAAAAGTCAAAATTTGTTGTCATGAATTTAAAATATATGGTTATATAAGTACACAAAACAACAAAACTCAGTTCGCAATTCTTACCGATCATCGCCGATCGACTAAGAACTTTTAAATAAGGCAAAGATAAGGCAGGTTTTATTTTTTCCTAAATAAGGCAGATCATTATCCTTAATAAGGTTGTCCTTATTCCAAAGGAAAACTGCGTTTGCGCAGCTGTCGAAATAAGGCTTGCCTTAATAAGACAAGCACTTGCAATATCTCTCTAATAATAATAATAATTTATTAACCATTTACAATAACATTCATTTACATTAAACTTAAGTAATTCTTAACGTCTATCTTAGACTTATTGAAAAAGGAGTTGAAAAAATCAACAGTAGCTGGAAGCTTATTTATTTCTCTGCATATTCTAGATAAAGGTGAATAAAAACCATAATTTGTTACATGAGAGAGGATACACCAGAGGTTATATTTTGTCGAGTTTGTCTTGTTGGTACCTCAAAATTAATTAGTTGCAACAATGCCGGCGAAACAATTAAACCGGTCAAAACCCTGAACAATGAGTATAGACCAAAATACAATCTTCTTTTTTCCAGTAACAATATCTCTAAGAGAGCCAATATGTCACTATATTGAAGTTCATCTCTTGGAATACTCAATTAATATCCTAGATGATGCAAAAACTTTTTTTTGGACTCTCAATAATACTCAATATCATCAATCCATTTTTTATAATAGGGGGACAATCACTTTCACAACGAAATAACCTTAAAAATCTTCAAGTTGTCAGCGTACAATAAAATTTTGCTGAAACGAATACAGTCCTGCAGTTGAATAACATACGCGATAGATGGCTTCCCTGAGGCACACCCGATGATACATTGCTTATTGACAACATATATTTTTTTACTTTCACAATCTATGTTCGACCCGAAGTTCGACCATATAAATAACTGGTCAACCAAGTCAGCAGAGTTCCGCGAACATCAATTGTTTCAATTTTTTTAAAATTGAAACTGAATGATTTATTCTATCAAAAACTTTTGTAAAGTCCGAGAAACCAGTGTACACAGAATCCACTTGAGAACGAAGACATAGCTTCAACTACAAACTGCTGATATTCTAGCAATAGTAGTACTTATAGTAGATTTTCCTCCTAAATATTCATGCTGTTCTGGGATTATCTGAGATGAAAGCAGTGGATATAGGCATTTGTTTACAAAAGATTCCAACATTTTAGATAGAGTTGAGTTTTTTGAGATTGCTCTTAGATAGCAACACCAAATACAAAACCAGAAAAGTGAATAACCCAAAACCATTGATAACTAACAACTACATCCCAGACTGTAGGAAAAAAAGGCCCTTACGTACCAACAATCCCACTGACTACAGGGAACATCGCACCTTCTCTAATTAACTCAAAAAATCAAAGTAGCTAAAGCTGGATTTATACAGCAAATTAAAATAAAATAAGATAACATAAGATAAAATAACAAATACATAGCTAATGCATTTCTTATTTTATTTGTTATTTTCTGTATAAACACTTTAAGGGTATCTCATGAGGTTAATTGTTATTTCCTCGGTTATTTCTTATTTGTTATTTTATCTTGTTTTATTTTATTTGCTGTTTAAAAAGCTGGCATGTTCTTTCATCCATTTTGAGCAAGTTTTCTGGCTTTTCCTGTGATTTTTCGTTTTTTGGCAAATTAACCACACTCTTTTCTGTGTTTACACAGCAATAAACTTCACCGCCCTTACTGAGCACCCTGGCTTGAGCTGCACAACTGGGGTGGTAGCTAGCACCAGACCTTTCACAATTCACCGATTCAACTACTTTTTTTATGCAATGCTTACACTTTTTTTTCCAAGGTTTTGTTTTTCAACTGTACACTTGACATGACATAACTTCTTTTTGTGTGTGTGATACTCCATCTTGGGAAAAATAACCCAGAAAATGAATACACCATCAATGGGTCAGTACTGTCAGTGTCCAGCAACACAATGGCCTCGAAGCTCTGATAACCAAAGACTTGACCTTGTCAACACATGTAACAACAATATGCAAAAAATCCAACAGCAAGTTATACATCCCAAAAAAGGTCTGCCCCTTCCTATTTACACACAATTATTATGTAAATATGTAACTAGATTTTTTAATTGTTGTTGTGGATCAATACCCCAACAAAATTTCATGAATTCTTCGACAACAATCATGGAAGTAAAAATAAAATGGGCAGCACATCAAAATACATAGTATATATTAAAAAGGTTAAATAAAATCCACCCATGAGATCAGATGTTGCTGGGCAAATAAATTTAATGTAAAGTATATGATATATTGCTAATAAAATTTTAACGCGCTTCGCGAATTATGTAAAATTTACCGCATATAAAATTAATTGCATATGTTTGTGTATATATATTTTTTTAAACCTATAGAAATATTTCACAATATGCCATCACATCCTGTAAACTTATTTTCACCAAAATTGAACAAATTATAAAACTATTATCCTAGCCTATCAGTTTAAAAATAAATAAATGGCTTTGTCCCTAAGGATATTTAAAAAAAAGTTTTGTTAGAATCAATGTAATTAATATGCTGTGTAGATAGCTACATAATAGTATAAAATATACACAGACTTTCTAAAGACAGAAGTGTATTTTTTGAAAATTCAAATCATAATAAATACATATGCGTCAACAAACCAGTGTACAGGGTTAAGTATTAGTATACAATGGTATTAGTCATAGTCATAGCATTTATCTGTTCCACAATTGTGAAATAAAAAATCATAACAAAAGCCCTTTTGGACTTAGAACGTGTCAATTTAAAATACCTAAATCTAATATTACAAACTAAATACTAAATCTAGTTGACTGTTTAAAATTTGAAATAATTTAACGAGTAATTTAAGTTCAAACACACATTTAAAAACACATCTATACAATACTACACATTAAAATATAAAAATACAATATAAAAATACAATGTACAAATACAATACTGAGCATTAAAATACATATATTGGTTTAAACTCGGGTTTAAACCTCATTCAATTTTCGCTGTTCAAATTGTCCTCATAATTACAATTCCTCCTCCGAGTAGTAAGCCCTCTGAACTAAATGGTTTTTCAACATATGTTTAAGGGTATCAAATTGCAAGGTTTGCCAATTTGTAGGTAGTTTGTTGAAGATTTTTATAATTGAAAACTGAACTTTTTTTTAAAAATATAAGTAAAATTGCTTCTCACATTGATAAGTCCTTCCTCCTTCCCCTTGTATCATAGCATTGTCCCCTAATGTGTTCAAAAAAAAGGTCAGGATTTGGCTTAACAAACAATGCTGCTTTCAGGATATATCGACTTAGTAATGTCAATATGTTGTTAGCCCTAAATATGGGTTTACAGGTATCTGTCTGGTACATAGCAAATATTGATCTTCTACATCTTTTTTGTGCCATAAAAACTCGAGAGACTTCAGGACTATTACCCCAGAATACAACTCCATACCTCAATCTTGATGGAATGTAAGCATGGTAAGCAGTTAATGCAACCTCGCTTGCCAGTACCCTCAGGGCATAGCAGTACGTTGATATTTGGCCAGCCAGGCAGTCAATATGGTCACTCCAGTCCAGCCGTGAATCCACTTTTACCCCCAGGAAACTGGCCGATCTTGTAGTGTTCGCGGCTACACCAACACCACAAACAAACTGAGTGGGAGACCAATCCCGCTTATATGAAAAACGTAGCAGCTGCGTCTCCTCGACATTGAAAAACAGGTTATTTGAGTCAAACTAACCCGAAAGGAACTCAAAGTTGCGTGAATTTTGTTACTCAACTCCTCCATTCCTTCTGCCGAGAAGACTACTGAAGTGTCATCTGCAAACTGAACTATAGACTGATCAGTTATATTTGCAAGCTCGTTAGTGTAGATAATGTACAGCAGTGGTCCAAGGATTGATCCCTGAGGTACACCTTTTTTGACCTGGCTAGAAATTGACGTTAATGTTTCCCCATTATGTCTTTCATTAATTTGCTGTTTTCCATCAAATAGATAAGATGATATCAGTTGTAGAGGAACGCCCTCTTGGTCATAAATTTACCTTCCGCTTAACTTTTTTATTTTCCAAAATAGAAAAAGATATTGTTAAAATATCAGTGGAAAATATAGACTTGTGGTATGCTCTATATTAATTTTATGATTATTCAACCTTTATGCAGCTAGAGGGCGTTTCTCGATTTTGATCAATACTGTGAAAGCTTCATAACTTTTTTGTTTATGAAAATAATTGAGTTCGGTATAAACCGTCTTGAGGTACTTTTTCAAGCAGAACCCAGTGACGTTCTCAGTTTTTTGGTAGTTGGCCTTGATTTCGAGATATTGATAAAAGTCGGTAACGGAATCTAATTGGCTATAACCCTTCTGAAACAAGTCTTATAAATTATGATTTAAATTTCAGAGCAAAAAGATGGGCATTAGACAACGTCGAAAACATTGAACAATGCAAACACGAAAAATTTAGTGAAAAATTGAAATCTGCTTTCACCCAAGGTTGTCAGATTTATGGCAATTTAATAGTTAACAGGTAAAAAAAAGCAGCTAACTAGTTAATTTGCACTAGATGTTTTTACCTCAAAATTCTTTTTAGAGTAAGTGGGAGTTTCCATATAGCTCCAGGAAAAAGCTTTAGCATAAACCACGTTCACGTACACGACGTCCAACCATTTTCTTCAACAGAATTCAATATGACGCACAATATTAGAGGATTAACTTTTGGTGCTAGTATAGACAGTGAAACCCATAATCCGTTAAAAAGTTTTGTTGGTATTGCTACAGAAGGTAACAACAATAATTTTAATGTAAATAAAATATTATAAAAAAGCAACTTTTTTTAGGTGCAACCATGTTCCAATATCACATAAAAATAGTACCAACTTCTTATGTGAAAAAAGATGGTTCTGTGATTCACAGTAATCAGTTTTCTGTGACGAAGCATCAAAAAGTTGTCTCGATAATGAGTGGCGAATCTGGTATGCCTGGTGTATTTTTCCAATACGAACTGTCACCTTTAATGGTTAAATATACAGAGCATGAAAGGTCTTTAGGGCATTTTTTGACAAACGTTTGCGCTATCATCGGAGGAGTTTATACTGTGGCAGGCTTACTGGATACGTTTTTGTATCATTCAATTAAAATTATACAGAAGAAGATAGAGTTGGGAAAGTTACATTAGGAAAGTGCAGTAGATTTTATATCAGGCTTTTCACTTTTGGCAAAAGCCTTTAAAAACAAGTCATTATAGTTGTGTAAATAATTATTGTTGCTTTATAATTATATTTTGTGATACTACTGTACATTTTTCAATTTTTATGTTCCAATTTTGCAGTAGAATATTAATGTAATTTGCGTGAAAAAATTGTTGGTGACTGGGGTAAATTTATTATTTTATTTGTTTATTTCAATGTGTAAATACAAATGTGTTTTAAAAAAATACTTGAAATTTTTCTTGAGTTGTTATTTTTTTCCATTATCCTGATCATGATTCAGGTAATTAACTCTTAAAAAAAAAAACTGCTTTGAGATCAATAATATTTAATGAATGATTATTCTAGCATTGGATACCAGGAGAAATTTTGCTTTAAACTAAAACATGAATATTCCAAATTTCTGCTCAAAAGATAGAACCATTCAGAGTTTGAATTTTTTCAGGGTGAATTTTGCATGTGAGGACTCAAACCTAAACAAACATCCTGGTACTAACATTTTTTCAATAATAATCAATAATTGTTTGAAAACATATAATTTCCAGTATAGTCCATTTTAAAAGTTTTTTGATAGAATGATAATACATTATGTCACGTAAATTGCTAGTTATTTAAATGTAATTTGTTGTGAGCATTTAGGTTGAGATAACATAGATTTCAGAATATTTATGACAATATGCTATTACTTTTGATATAAAAAACATATAAATCAAAATAGACCTGTTACATAATTAATAATAAATATAAATATAAACAGGGTGGGCAAACCTAGAAGCATTTAGATCTTTTATATTCCTTGAAGAAATTGACTTCATATTTTTAGAATATTATAGGTACCTAATTATAATTTTTCTATATGAATCTAATGTCAGTTATTTGGGGCAAATTTTGATGAAGACCTGGCATTGAAACCTGTGAAATAATAAAAATAACGTTTTTCACTCTATACAAATTAAAACCCATAATACAAAATTGTTATGGATAATTGGTCTCCAACTATATGTGCTTTGTGTCCAATTATTATCATTTGGTAACCGTTTACTTGGAATGTTTTTCAGTAGGTATAATTAGCCAGGATATCTATTTAAATAAAAGCACTATTTTGAACGCTAAGCTAGGAGTAATTTTAAACTTATCCTCAAACAAAACAAAAAACACTTTGAAGGTAGAAATCCACTTAATTGAACATTTTAATAGAGGTGATTATCAATTGAAATTGAATAGTCACAGGTGAAATATGAGGTGTTTTGGAATGTTTTGCCTATTATTTATGATTTTGGTTGTCTATGATGTTATGGCGTTTCCTGTACAAGAATCAGGTGAGTTTTTTCTTTTTTCTCAAAACTCTGTCAGTATTTAAAAACAAGTCTAGATTGAAAAGAAATCAAGTCAATGTTCAGATAATGCTGCTCATACAATACAAATACAAAACAATCGTGTCTCAACAAGACCGAAGGAATTTCGTCTAATAATTTCTCCACTCGAACTTATTCACAATCAATAACTCTATGTGGATCCTACACACTGAGGAAATCATTAGTAGGTACCAACAATTATTTTACAATTATGTAGATAAGGTATTTGCTGATCACTTTGAAAAAGTGTTTGCACGTAAACCTTTGGATAATATAACGCTTCTACCAGCCATCTGTTGTTTTTACCCCAGCTACCATTGAGGAATCGATTCTCATCCTCAAGAAGTTTATAGCCGGTTCTGATAACATTCCAACAATATTTTTGCAAAAATGTGTAAAATCTGCTCGCCCCTTGCACACATTAGGTACTAACTTGATGAGTTGCGAGAAAGTCCCGGAAAAATGGAAGAGGAAGCATACATCGTCCCAGAATCAGAAGCACAAATCTCAAATTGTCTTGAAAAGGCTAATTCTCTGGCCTACCTGACGCAAAAAGCATTCAAGGATCACTCAGTTATTACAATCGTAAAAATATACAAGTCCTACATCAGACCCATCCCATACTAGAGTATGCCCAGTCAGTCTGGAATCCCTATTATGCTAAGGTCATTGAGGCATTGGACAGAGTCCAAAGAAGAATTACTAAAATTCCACTAGAAACCCAAGACCTCACATGGAGAACAAAAATAATGGATATTTATAAAATTTATCCAACAATCCAAAACTTCCTCTCTGCAACAATGTCTAACTGGAGAACAAAAATCAATCTGAAAACTGCAGATAAATATATCGAAACCGAATACATAAAGATTCAACGAGGAATATTTCAGGGTGATGCCTTCAGTGCATTGTGGTTCTGCATGTGCCATCACACGCACTGACACCAAATATAGATATAAACTCAAACAAGAAACACTTATAGGTACTGTACATGAACTAAATCACCTCCTATACATATAACATAAAAATTTATGCTCCAACATCTACAGACATGCAAGGACCACTGAAAACAACTGAAATAATATCCAAGGACATCAACATGGAGTTCGGGATGAACAAATGAAATCTACACATAGAACGGGGAAAATGGAGAATAGACCAAATAGAGAACACCCTAAGTGATAAAAGGCTGAAACAAATGGAAGTACCTACATAAAATCCACAAATACCTTGGGTTTGAACAATACCAAGTATTAAACCACGCCTCCATTAAAGAAAAACTCAGAGACAACTTCCAGAAAAGACTAAGACTACTCCTCAAAACCATCTTAACTCAAGAAACCTATTCAAAGCCACCAACACTTTCGCAATGCCTGTCCCCACCTACTACTTTGGTATAATCGAATGGTCCATAACAGACTTGGAGAATATAACATATTCTAACGAGATCACAATTAACAAAACACAGGAAATTGCATCCAAATTCCTGCAAGGAAAGGATAACATTGAAACGAGACCAGGGAGGTAGAGGAATGGCAGACCTTCAAGAACTGCATGCTAAGCAGAATGACACACCGAGGACTTTCATAGTGCAAAACACCCATTATACAAGACTATAGTAAAAATCGACAAAAACTATACACCCTTTAACTTAGCAGCGGAAGTACAAAATATAAAACACTATACTACACAAGAAAAGTTACAAAAATGGTCAAGTATATAAGCCGCATCACGGCAGACATAACAATCTAGTTCAGGAGCACACTGATAAAAACTCAACCTATGTGTTCCTCAAAAAGGGCCAGATCCACCCGGAGACAGAAGGATTCGTCTTGGCAATACAGGATCAAGTGATAGCTACCCAAAACTATGGAAAATATATCATAAAGGATGGCTCTGTGAAAAACGACAAATGTAGAAAATGACAACTAGGTACTTCCCGAAAAAATAGACCACATAATATCTGGGTGTAACATGTTAGCAGGTATTGAGTACACCAATAGACATAACACAGTCGTGAAAATAATTCATCAAGTAATTGCACTGAAATATAAACTTCATGATGAAAACCAACCTTACTCCGCCACACCTATTACTCCGAGTCAATAACAGAAGATAGAAACTACAAACTATAAGTACTGGGACCGCGACCTGACAATACATATACGGATAAAACCATTGAGGTAGGCTAGAACGGTTATGCACAACAGGCCAGATATAAATCTTCAGGACAAAATAAAAAAAGCTACCTACCTATCTAATAAACATCGCTGTGCCGGGTGACCATAATACCTCCCAAAAATACACCGAAAAGAAACAAAAATATCAACAACTAGCTATAGAAGTGGAAAGAATATGGAACCCAACAAGTACAAATTATTCCTTTTATCATATCAGCAACGGGTATCACGCCGAACACATTCCTTAAAGACCTTCATCAACTGGTCTTAATGAAAACATACACTCCCAAGCTCAAAAAGCCACTATACTGCAAACTTGTAATATCACAAGATCCTTTCTCAACCAGAAGTGACCTTTCCTCCAATGGACTTGGTAACCGCCCGTCGATTGGAGATATAACAGAGTAAAAATTTGTGAAGCAGAAAGAAATAATAATATTAATATAATAATAAAAACGAGAACGATTCTAAGTATACCGGGTTGGTCATCCTAGAGCCACTAATGAACGGTTAATCTAACCCAAAAAGCAGGGTGGTAGTCGAGGTCTTATTGATATGGAGTACATGCCCCAACAACATATTGATATCCTACGAAAATATTTCCTATCTATCTAACCAAGACACAAACGCTCTACTATACAAAGCAGTGATAAAGATCGACCAAGATTACTCCATTGAACCTTCACTCTGCTAACATGGAAACCACAGCACCCACGAAATTTGAGCGAAATAATCAACCTGTTGCAGCATGGAATCAGAAGGCATTGCACGGAAAACATCCCTATGACTTGTCGGCCGATAATGTGGACCCTAAGGCATCAAATCTTTGGCTTGTACGTGTACGGGAGAGCTTTTTCCAGTGACTGAGGGTTTCTATTCGGTTATACAAGATATGGTTATACCCACAGCAAATTATAAAAAAAAAACGTGATCAGCGACCCTGCCATCGTCGATTAATGCCGAAAGTGCAAGCGAGCTTCAGAAACCATTCAACACATAACAGCAGGATGTAACAGTACTAACATCTACTGAGTACCTCCATAGGCATAACTGTGTGGCCAAAATAGTTCACCTGAGTCTGGTTAAACTCTACGAAATCCCAACAGAAACCAAACCCTACTATCAATATCTGCTAGAAAATGTGCTTGAGAATGATAAATGCAAAACTCTATTGGGACAGATTAATACTAAACTGATAGACACGTGACACGTTGTTGCCGCCAATAGACCAGATATCACCCTCGACATCGCTGTACAGGGTATTTGATTATATTTGGCACCATACCTACAGTCTTTATTATTTAAGATAGAAAAAAAAATTAAATACAAAACTTGACAGTTTTTTTCTATATTTTCTTTTAACGTTATCAGAAAAAACAAAATCGCATTGGCAAAGGGTGAAACGTAGACAACTTCAACTTTTTTTTAATGGAACACCCTGTATATTTTGCGATAAAATAAAAGATCTTTTCTTCCTGATTTCAAATATATATATACATATATTGATCACATTTGAGTGAGCCGTTTTTGACATATATTAACTTAAATTATGAATAATTTGCAAAGAAATTTCACAAGGATGTCAAGACATTTAAATTCTTATAAAATTTCTTTGGATTTTATTTATAATTTTACCTAAGATATATCAAAAACGGCTTACCCAAATGTGATCAATATATATATATAT